CAGTTCGACCACTGCGCTGTCGGACTCGTGGTCGAAGGAGGCGGCGTCCCAGATCTGCGCAGACACGGTTCGCGATGGGGCGCTCTGAGAGCGGGGGGCGTGCGCGGCTGTGGGAGGCGCGGGCGAGGCGCGCCACGAGCTGGCCGCGCGGGTCCTCCAGGCAGACCGGTGACAGGCTTGCGAGGAGCGAGAGGCGGAAGGTGATGTCCCCGTCGCTTCCGGCGGGGGGGTTCACCTGCGTTGACGGGCAGGCCGTCAGGGGCGGGGCGCGGGCGAGTACGGGCCTGTGGCGAGTGCGCGGGCCGCCGGCTGGATCATCGACTCGGACAGGGCTTGCGCGAGCACGGAGTGGCACATCGAGGCGGTCAGTCCGAGCTTCTGCTTGAAGCAGTCGAGGAGCGACTGGATGGGGTGGTCGTCGACGCTCCTGCGCGGGCGGCGAGGGGCGCGGAGCGAAGAGTTACTGACCGGCGGGCGCGCGGGTGAAGCGGCGCGCGGCGCAAGGTGCGCACGTGTCGACGAGCAGGTTTGAGCCCTTGGCAAAGACGATGTCCGGGTGGTCGCGCAGGAGGACGCGGTACCGGAGCTCGCCGTCGAAGCGGTCGTCTGGCTTGAAGACGATGAAGCCGACCTCTCCGTTGAGGTCGTCGTGCTTTCGGAGGTCGGTGAGGATCACTTTCGTGCCGCGCCTGGGCGGAGCGCGGCCGCGGCGGTGAAGTGTGGCTTCGGCGGTGAGAGGCGCAGACGAGAGGAGCGCGGGCGGAGGAAGTGGAGCGTCTGGGAGGCATGGCTTGTACGCACCCGGCAGCGGCGAGGCCGCGCGCCGGCAGCGGCGAGGCGTCCATCAGGTCGAAGGAGAGGTCGTCGAAGCGCGACGCGGGTTTGGGTGCGTGGAGGTTGAGCTTGAGCGGGGAGGCCGCCTGCGTGAAGACGGTGGCCATTTTTTGACGGAGGATCCAGGTCCTGCGACTCCAGCGCTAAGAGCCGCCACAAGGAAAAGAATTTTCGGGTCCCGAATTTGCGCGGGCTCTTGCGCCGGCTTTTGCGACTCACGTCGGGGCAGCCTTTAAACCCCTGTGTGTGGCGGCGTGCCGTCCTCCCATCCCTCCTCTGGAGTTCTTCACCTTTCTACCTACCTGCCTGGGTAAGAGCCGCCACCAGCCAAGAATACTTACCCACCGGCTTTTGCGACGAAGGTCGGGGAAGCTAGCCCGTACCGGAGTCCCAAAAGTGGATCCGGAGCATTAGGCGGAGGCGGAGGCAAGCACAGCTCTCTCAACATGGCCCCACTTTCGGCAAATGCGCTGCCCATCGGCATCGCCTCCCAGTCCCACTTTGCAAAAGAGGGCTCGTACGCCGCCTGCCGCGCAAAGCATAAAGAAAACGCGGCTGGCTCGTTCCGCACTGCGCCACTGGGCGCGACCGGCGGGGCGGACACGTCGACGACGAGCTCTCACGAGCTCACGAGCTCACGACACTCGACACTCGACACTCGACCCCACACACATACACCTCTTATAAAGCCGTACACGAGAGACGCGATTCTGGTCGCAGTAAGAGGGGGCAAAGTCCTGTGGCCCACCCCGTTCAGATCCGCGTGAATGGTGAAAGGGGGGGGGGGGGGGGGCACGCACCGCTGTTGTCAAAAACTAGTTAGTCGCTACACTCTTGACTCGGCAGCTCACGCACTATATTGAGAGCAGTCACGCAGCTGGAGAGTACTGCAATGGGAGAGTCGCCAGTCCGCAATCGACTATACTGGCGGAACTGGATTGGCTTCCGCCGACCAATCCGTCGTAATTCATCCACGGCGGCGCAGAATGGTCGCTGCACAGGTCAGAACGGCATGGAAAATATCCAAGCTCGTCCTCTGTGGCCGCCAAATTGCGCCGGGGGAGCAATACAGCGCCGGATGAGCGAGTTGCGGGTTCAGCGCGTCGACCTCGAGGCTGCCGCCACCCTCGCCTCGTCCCCCCTCGCCTCCGCCTTCCTCCTCCCCGCCGCCCCCTCCCCCGGCCGCCGCTCGAACAGGTCGAGCGCCGTGTGTACGGCGCCTCCTCCTCGCTCGCATTGACGGTCACCTAGTGAGGAGGCAAGCCGGCCCGTGATCCGCCAGTCCGCTAGGCGGGCGAAGAGCGGCTTGGCGCGTGGCCGAGAGTGGCCGCGGCCCGCCCGGCGAGCGGTACGCCTGGCGGGTCATGTCGCGGACGTGTCGGGGGGCGTTTCTGTGTATGGACGTGTCGAGGCCGAGTCCGGCCAGCCCTTGGCCCTCCTCGTACTGCCGCTCCGCCTCCGCCGCGTCGCCGACCTCGCGGCAGCCGAGCAGCACCGCGGTGACACCACTCGCTCGGTGTAGGGGTGGATGCCCGCCTCGTCCGCACGCCGATGCAGCGCCGCGAGCGCCGCGAGGTCTCCGCGCCTGTTCACAGCGTTCAGCTGTGAAGCGTGGCGGGTGGCCGTCCGTTCCGCCCGGCGCGCGGCCTCGCCGTTGGAGCCGCCATTTCGCCGCCGCCGACGGCGCCGAGGGAAGTGCGGCCGCGCACCGTGCGCCCGAGGGGCGAGCTTCGCCGCCCGCTTCTTTGCTCCCGGCTCCGCCTCGAGTCTCACGGAGGGGTCGGAGGCGGCCAGGGCGGCCGCGGCTGCCAACGCCTCCTCGGCCTCCCTCAGCTCCGGGTCCTTTGCCGCCACGGCGCGACGTGCGGCGGCGCGGGAGCCGGCACGAGGGCTGGGGCAGCGCGAGTGACGGCCGCCAGGGTCGGAGCGGCCACTGTCGTCTCAAGAGACGCCCTCTCCCTCCTCCCCGCGGCGACCTCTGCCTCTGGAGATCTCGCCCTCTCCTCGCTCGCGCTCGCTGCGGCGGGGCGCGCGCTACGATCCGGCCTGCGGCCAGTGCCAGAAGGTCAGGGTTGAGGGAGTCTCGCTCCCCGCCGCCTCGTTCCGGCGCCTTCGTGGCGGGCCGGCGGCGCGCCGCCAATGGGTCCGACTGCGCTGGGCATGGCTGCTACTGTCGTTCTCTTTCAGCAGAGCCTCGACGGTGCTGGGCTGTGCTGCGGGGCGAAACTCTGGCGCGCTTTTCTTTTTCCAGCAGATCAGCAGATCAGCAGAGCCTAGCCCGGCCGCGCTGGGCTGTGCTGCCTTCCAGGAGGGTAGCGATCTTTCTTTTTGCGGTCTTATTTTCTAGTCGAAACTCGGCCTCGGATATTTCTTTTTTCAGCAGATCAGCAGATCAGCAGAGCCTCGACCGCGCTGGGCTGTGCTGTCGGCCACACGGCCGGGGGTATTCTTTTATGAAATTCTTTTTCCCAGTAGATCAGCAGAGCAGC